TTGTTGTTGTTGTTGTTAGTCCTGCCTTGAAAAAGATCCTTTTTAAATGAAATTTTTACAACTGATTACTTATTGTTCGTGAAAAGCCACTCTGGGGAGGTCCCTTTTTCGGTCAGTCCGTCGTGCCTGACGCGAGAGAAAACCGCGCGCAAAAAAATGGCCGCGCAAAATCCTCGTCGTTTTCTTTCGCCTCACACACGACGTACCAAGTGAAAGAGGGACTACTCGCAGTCTTAGCGTATCCTGATGTTTAACACAAAGGATGACTAAAGCATAATAAAGTCTGAATTCAAACTCAACTGCTATATGACTTACGCAAGATATCTAGAACTTTCACCACCACCTCAGGAGGATTGCCCGAGTCTGGACGAATAACAAGTACACCTGATATAAAGGAAGAGAATGAAGACTTTGAGGAATTACTAATTCACACAACTATAACAAGAAACGCTGTTATTTGAAACTGAAAATAACTGTAAAATTTTGTCAGTTAGCCAGCCTCCATCTTCAGACATCCACAGCACAATTTGTGGTAAGTAGTTTAAAACACTGGTTTAATAAACTTCACATTGTAATTTGAGGAAAACCGTTACCTAATTGACTTACCGTTGTTTTTCTTTCCACGATCAACAACAAGATCTTTCAAGTCTTCTCCCCAGTACTTCTCACAAGCCTCCCTTTATTTGGATACAAAGAAAACACCACATTAAGGCCCCAACCACACTATGCCAGAGCAATTTGAAAACGGAGGTTTCACTCTGAAAACGCATCAAATGTTTCCGTCCACACTACGCCGGAGGAATTTAAAAACGCAGCAACTGATCACCGGTCATTTTGGATTTGTGTTTGAGGAAATCTCGGTCAAGGAAATCACCTGATTATCGCAACACCATTGTTTACGAAAAGCACTGTTTTCAAAACGTTTTCCATCCACACGAAAACGCAAAGCCGATGTTTTCAAATTTCCCCAGTTCGAAGAGCGTTTTTGAAAAGCTCTGTTTTCGCGACGGATTAGTGTGGACGGTTGGCCTAACCGTAGAAATAAAGCTCCGTTTTCAAATTTCTGTGATGGACTA